GGGCTCTCGGTGTGTTTCAGAGCTGCTAAACTTCTGTTCAAAGACAGCCCAGAGCCGGTATGAGTCCTAGATGGACAGTCCATCTAGTTGGCAGTGATTTAAACCACTGGGAGGGTCAAATCTGGCCCTCAGAAGTGACTTTATAAGCTCAAATAATAGCTTATGTAGCAACAAGCAACTCATAAATGAGATTCAGGCAGCAGAAAGGTGTCAACAGGATGTTGCTGCTAAAGCTAAATGTTAACGCTTAAAGGAATAAAAATAACATCCATCCCCTGCAGGGAATTTATTTAATCTGAGCTCTTCCCTGCCATTGTAAACCACCGCTATCAACTTCAGCTTTGATTTCTCATGTTTTCCAGCTGTTTCCACGTTTCCAGGATGTAGCTGCACAGAAATCGCCGCCAGCTCCCCACGTGTGGTAACCCCGAGCTTTGGGCCACCGTGAACGGCGGGACGAGCTGGCCCCCTGGTTTTTGGCTGGCGGACCAGTCCCTCTCACCTGCCAGCTGCTCTGCCCAGCAGCCCTGCCCAGCGGCGCTCCAGGCTCTCCAGTTGCCCCACGATCTTCTCCCGATCCGCGGGCTCGGCCGACTGGGCGATTCTGCCGCCCTCCGCTTGGATCATCTCGACGGTGGCTTTGCGATCATCCAGGAGTCGCTGGAGCAGCTTTAGCATCAGCAGCGAAAGAAAGGAGGATAAGAGTTACCAGATTGGATCGGCAGAACCTCTTTTGGCCCTCGGAGAGATCAAATCTCTAATTGTGGCTGAAAACCGTCGTAAGCACGGGGCCGAGACCAAAGCCAGCCCAGCGGGACAGCCTCTGCCATCAAAACCAGTTCAAAAAAAAAAATAAATAATATAATAATATGCTTTAACTTTCGGTCAGCCCTGAAGTGGCCAGGCAGTTGGACTGGATGATTATTGTAGGTCTATTCCAACTGAAATATTCTATTCTAAAAGAGATTCAAAGCACTTCTGTGCCAGAGAGGTTTTCAGAGGCTTCCCCACCACCCCCTCCCGAAACTTATCAAGATCAAGTTTTTAAATTTGCGCTTTAAAGAAATTTGCTCTTCAAAGTGGCAATACCTCGGACCAAGCCTCGGTAAGAATTCATTTCTAAAACGTTTTACCACCACCACACTTGAACTTTCATCCGCCCGCTCAGCAGGGCAGGCGCCGACCCAGGCTGTTATCTCTGCAAACACCGGCACGCCTCGGGTCGCTTCTTACAGTTTGTACGTTCGTTTTGTCCAAATACCCAAACCGGTACCTCCAACACCAGCTCGCTCCTGACGCAGCAGAATTACCAGCGCAAACAAAACTTAAAGGCTGGAAAAACACGGCCGACCAGCAAAACCAGCAGCAAACTTCAAGAGGCGGTGGGACAATAAAGTAACGCTGGCGATTCAAGACGACGGCGACAGCGAGTGTGGGCAAACGAGCTGCCTGTTTATTACACTGGGATGTGGGGAACCAGTAGAAGAGCCACCATGGAAGAAGCAGGCTTGTTGTGTGTCCCAGTTACTCCTTATCTGTCACAGCTGGACCTCCAAAATGTTGTCTGGCTGTCCAGAGCTCCCCCTCCCATGAAGCCCACCCTTACCCTGTCCTTGCTCACCTTCTGCTCCTGGATCTGGGCCTTCACCACCTTGTACTCCGCGGAGGGAGGTTTTTGGTTGGAGATGAGCTCCTCGGTGTCCGTCAGCCAGCTCAGCAACGGCTCCAGGGCGTCCTGAAACTTCCCGCAGTGCAACAGGGCCTCCTGCAGCTGAGCAACTCTTTGGGCCACCTGCACCCCAAACACAACCCCATCGCATGGTCAGGCTGGTGACGCATCAACGCCGGAGGCTCAGCTCCCTGTCGATGACCCCCTTCTTCCACCAGACCCCAATGGGTCAAAGAAAAACCACTCAGAGCCTCTCTCCGCGCTCTCACCTTCTTGTTGAGGGTGTTCCAGCGGGTGTTGATTTCTTCCATGTCATGCTCCAGCCCTTGGACGTCACAGTTTTTCCCGGCGCTTTGGATGAGTCCTTGACCAACTCCATTGACTTGCTGTAGTTTTAGCTGGAGAGGATCCACTTGTTCCTTCTGGAACAGCTGGGGATGGGAAGGGTGGGAGAGAAAAGGTATTTATAACCCGTGAGCTGCTCTTACAGCCCCTCCATCGTTCAGTAGATAACAACACGCTTTCTTCTCTAGAGAAGACGCAGCAGTTACTTGCACTGATTTTATCAGAGTTGTGCAAGTTTGGCTGAACTCCCTCGCCCGCACCCAGTAACACGTCACAGGCATTTGCTGGTGCGGAGCACAGCTCGGGATCTATACGCATCCACCTCTGCTTTTCAATGGGTAAATCCCCTCTTTCCAAGCACCGGAGGGAGGTGGAGAGGGCAAACTGGGGAAGAAATGAGAACATCGGCTCTGGTCAGCCGTCAGCTTGGGAAATAATGCTCCTGGGGAAAAACCCAAAGCAATTCTCACAGTGATGCTATTGTGAACGGAGACCTGACATCACATGAGTGTTGTTAACCACGAAATTACAGACACCGAGAAGCTAGCTGTATTTCGAAAGACAAAGGCAATAGGCAATTAATGTGCTAGTCGTTTACCGCACCGCGTATTTGGCATGGTCCTGCCTGGGAATCCTGTGGGGAAAAGCTTTTCAAACCAAAAAACATTCGATAGGGAAGGGGGAGGAGAGCGAATGAAGCTCCCCATTGTAAAGAGAGGCAGCAGGGAAAATCCTGTTTCCGCAGAGGAGATAAGTGCTCTTTATCAGAGCTGTGGATCTGCTGTAACCACCCGCGCAGGGTCCCTCTCCGGCGCTGCTGCGGCGGCCGCACTGCCCGGTCCCGAGGGACAAGGCTCCCGCTTCCCCATCGCCAATAGCCCAAGCTCCCCCTAAAAAAAGGGACCGGAGTCCTTCATGGTGTCCCCTGGTCGCTTGGACCACGAGCCCATGCAGAGCACAGGTCAGCCCGCAGCCAGCGCTGGGCAGGATGAGAGCCCTTAGCCCTGTCGCAACCTTTTCTCTTTGGAAAGCGGAGGGGACGGCAGCCAGCCGCCTGCTTTCTCAAGCGTGCTGCCTCCCTCCTCCTCCTCCTCCTCCTCCTCCTCACGTGCCCGAGAATATACGGACACCCACAGCATCGAAAAATTCCTGCTTGGATGCCAGATCTCTCCCAGCAGAGCAGCAGCTGCCAGAGGGATGGCACAGCTCTCCGCACCCGCCAATCGCTTTTGCCTCCGAAGGAACACGAGGCAGGCAAAAAAAACCAACCCCAAACACACCGAAAACCCCGAAAGCACAGCAAAAAAGTTCCCAGCCCGAGCAAGAGGAGCTGCCTTGACTTCCTTTGCCCCATTTTCAAAGAAAAAGCCGTTCCTTCTCGCCGGAGCTCAGCTGCCCGAGGGCAGGGAGGCATCACTCCGGGACACGGAGCGAAGGCTGCGCTGGCAGACATTGTCCAGAGCTGTTTGCTCGGGGAGAATTATGCCACGGTTATAAGAATTAAACGGTGATGTGAAATCACCGATTCCCCGGCTGCTTCTCCTGTTACTGTTTATATATGGAGTTGGCTGTTAGAGCCGCCAAACCCACAAAAGGCCTGGGCTGATAAGTTTGGCATGTCGGGCTGCGTCCCAGCCCTCCGCACGCCGCGAAAACAAACTCCGGGGCTTCGAAGCAGGCGGGCAGGGAGGGAACCCTGCAGAAATCCCGGCCGTCAGACCCCCGTACCGGCAACACCGCAATCGGTGCAGTCCGAGAACGCGCCGCCGCGCTTATTATACAAAGATAATCGCGCTAATGGCCCCAGGAGCGAACACGTCGAACACGTTTGTTTTTCTCTGCTCGTGAAAGACTCCAGCGATTTAGTTCATTAACCTCACCGTGACTCAGCTTTGAAACAAATATTTAAGGTACACCCTTTGCCGGGGCAGGGAAAGGCGCAGAGCGAGGAGAGCGAGGTGTCCTGCCCGGGCAAAGAGGCTGGACAGACATCTTGGAGAGCAGGAGGACATCTGCTCCACCACACCTCCTTCTTCTCCTCCTCCCCCTCCTCCAAAAAACCCTTCCCAAAGCATCCCCTCGCTTTCTGCTTCCCTCATCTCCCTCCTTAACCCCACCGCTGCCAAACGCAGAGCCCGGCCCCACGCTGGGAAGAGAAGAACCAGTGCAGCCCCGGAGCTGCCAACACCTTTGAGGACGTTTGAGCCAGGAGAAGATTTAGGGGGTTAACCATCAGGGATGCTGCGCTTAAAGAGTCCCACCAGCAAGGACGTGCTGACACCAAAGCAGTGAATTTCAGACAAAAGCAGTGAATTTCAGACAACAGACATACAAGAGCAAGAACCCGATGGCTTTCTCTCCTCCCCAAGGTCCCCACAAGGTGCCCCAGCCCGTGCTCACATGGACCCCCCCATGCGAACGCGTCTCGCCAAGCCCCTCCACGTGCAGTGCTCAAACGGGCGGCACAGCCCAAAGGATGAGTAATTGCTACCGAATCGGGATTTTAAGCGCTGACTAACTTCTGATGTCTCCTTAGTGATATTTCTCCTCATCCAGATGGCAGTAAATCAGCGCTCGGCTGTGGGAACTCCACCACCGAGGTCTCTCCAGGCGAAAGCCGCTAGCACGGCACGGTAAAGCAAATCCCCAAATGCCAGAGAGAACTGGAGCCCCTTCCCGCGCGCGCGTTCAGAGCCTCAGCACCTTATTGCTCGCTTAAAAAGCTACGGGAAGCGGTGACTGCACAGGACAGGAATGATTTGCACTTAATTCGTTTTACAGGATTCTCTCTTCCCGATATATTTTCTGCTTCAAAGATGGGAACCACCCCGCCGGGATCTGGCCAGAAGGTTTTTTTCCGAAGTCTGTGATTTACATCTGAGTGACCATAACGTACTTTAATAACCCGAAAAAGTTGAAGTCAATAGTTCAGATCATCAAGCAGCAATAGTCTTTTGCCTCTCCTACTTATAAAAACACACAATCCCCCCCCCGCCTCCAAACTTTTTGCCTGCCAAATTCAAGCCAAACTCAGGAGAGAGAAGGCTCTTTCAGAGCCCGAACCCCGCAGACCATGGCCGTGGGCTACCGAGCGGGCTCCCATCTCCCACCTGCCCCACAAGTGCAAAATAAAGCGAATTCTGCGCCTGAGCAACACATACCTCGTTATCTGGAACGAATCCATCTGGTAGAGCAGGAGGCCCTTCTGCGACGAGAGCGGTGCCGGGAGGTCCCTCCGTGCTCACGGGCACCTCTCCCTCACCGGGCGCTGGGGACGGGGCACCCCCGGGGCTGGGGGGACGGAGGGTGTCCCCCGGCACGGCCCCCGGGAGGGTTTGTGCGGTGGGTGCGGCGGCGGAGGGTGGTCCCTGCAGCTCTGGGGTGGTGGGACCCTCCCAGGGGGGTGGGAAGGCAGAGGGGGGACCCTCCGTGCCCGGCGGTATGGAGGTACTGTCCCAAGCTGCCACCTCTGCTGCGGGCGCTCTCGCAGTGGGGTCATCCTCCAAAGCCGGTTCTTCGGTGGATAGGTAATCCAGGATGGGCGGCACAACCATGTTGGCAAAGTCATCTCTATCCCCCAAGGCCACTACTGGTGCCGCCGCTGCCAGCGGCGCAGGGCCACCACCAAGATCCCTGACGTCGGAGATGAGTGAGTTGGCCACTGGTGGTGGCACAGTGGCAACAGGCACATCAGCAAACGGCGGTGGAGCATCCAGAAGCTCTTCCGCTGCCCAGGGCACAGCAGTGGTGGGAGCATCTGGAGGTGGGTGCTCAGTACATGGTTCCTCAGCATCCATGGTAGGATCCCCAGTGGCTGGTAGCATCTCCTGAGCCTGGGACTCTGGGACAGCCACATCGCCTGGTGCTGGTGGGTCAACTGGAGCACAAAGCCCCCCAACATCCCATGGGATGGCATCGGGAGCAGGCTGCCCCACAATGGGCAACGTGCTGGGAAGGTCTTCTGGGGTGGCTGGGCTGGCACCATGTGGGACCCCCTCACCCAGCACCAAGGTATGGCACTGTGCCGCCCGCCGGTCCTCCCAACCACAGGCAAATAGCAAGTCCAGGTCTCCTGGCTGGAGGATGGCTGCTGGTGCCTCCCCATGCGTGACAGCCACCTCCACAGGGGACCCCTCGGCGTGGGCAGCCCCTTCCAGAGCCAGGCCCTGGCCCACGGGAATTGCTTCCCACGGGAGGTCCTCAACTGTCGCAGGGGACATTGTCAGAGGCTCAGAGCCCGGCTCTGATGCAGAGCCAGTGTGGAACGGTAGCAGAGAACCACAGTGAGCATCCCCACTTTCTGCCAGATGACTCTGGCCCTCAGCTCCATCACTCTCTGATCCCAAATCTGTGGCTTCAACCTCAGAAACCAGTTCTGGGACATCCCAGTTGGTGAGCTCAGTCCTTCCAGGCAGGAGGTGATGGGTCCCAAATGGATCCATCCCCTCAACGCCGGCCTCACTGTGCCGCGTGGGAGACCCCAGCTCCGCTGCCACTGTGTCAGGAGCTGGGGGCTGGCAGGGGGACAGCCCAGCCAGGGACACTTGGCCAGGACAGGTCTCCTCAGGAAGCTGTGATACTTCACCATCAGGGACCAGCAAGTCTTGATTATCTTCACCCCACCCCACCGGAGCACTGAGGAAACCAGCTTCCTCAAAGCCAGAAGCCGGACACGCGCCTGTCTCAGGAGATGGCATCCCACCAGCCACCAACACCACCACCGCACAACTGTCCGTGAGCTCCAGGTCCACCAGCGGGTCAGGATCATCCTCCTCCGCCGGTGCCGGAGAGCTCTGCTGGAGGGAACTCGGCCCCGCCGTGGCCACGGGGCTGGGTGACACCCCTCCGTCCGAGTCCGTCGGGGTGATGGCCGAGGTGTCCCTTTCTGAGAAGGGCTCTGTCGCCGGCTCCAGCGTGCTCAGCACCTGTGAACTACAGGTGACATCAAAGTCCTCCAGATCCGACACCACGGCAGAGTCCGAAGCGCTGATGTCCAAAGGGGCCCTACGCTGACACGCTTCCACTGCCAGTTTGGCGGAATCTGGGTCCAGCCCCTCCGAGTCCATCGGGGAGACCTGAACCTCCGGGCAGTCGGGGATGGCCCCATCGCCCTCATCCTCATTCAGGCACTGCTCTTCCAGCTCCAGGAACATCTGCACCGAGTCCGTGTCGGACAACGCAGGGCCAGCGGGGCTGATCGAGCGCTCCGAACCCGGAGCGAAGTCCTTAGCCTCGCACTGCACCGCCACGTCCTCGGTACGGCACGCGCTGCCGGCGAGGGGGCTGCCGGCACCCCCCGGGGACGTGCAGGACCGGGAGGTCCCCGGGCTGGGGGCAGAGCAGTCTGCCGGAGCAGCAAATTGTTCCTTTTCTTCAGAAATATCTGCCAAGCAACAGCTCTTCTTCTCCTCTGCCACCAGAACAGCCTTTCCTCTCTCTGACAGCGTCGCCTCCTCCCACTCCTCCATCATCACCCAGCGCTCGTCCTCCTCAAATCTCAGCTCAGACTCTGTTTTCTCCCTGAGATTGGAGGTGATGAGAATATCCAGTCCCGCATCCAGCAGCTCTTCGCTAAGGCACGGAGAGAGGTTGACGTTCTCCACCGTACAGTCCGACTCGGAGGCCTCCAGGGTCTCCTGGTGCCCATCGCTGAGGCTTCCCTTGATGAAATTCTTCCTGGCTCGGGGCCAGGTGGCACTAGGGAGCCGGCGAGCCCTGGCCAGGTCCCCAAAGCGACCGCGGC